TTCCTTAGAAGCGATTGAGGAAATGTGGGTTCAAACATTTGTGCTCTGGATAGAGGCCCCTTTCTTTCTAGAAACACTGAGCATACGGGGCTTTCAACATCTCAACAGTTCTAGTCTTCAACACTCTCCCTCTTTGTCCTCTCTGTCCAGTGGCCACCCAGCAGGACCTGCAGGTCAGTAACTGACTTAATGTTGGGTCCCTGAAGCAGCTTTGTTCTTTCAGCAGTGTTTGCCCCCTGCTGTCAGGTGCTCCTTCCCCAGCCTGAGGCACTGAGAAGGGAGCAAGAAGTGCTCTGGTGCATGACTGTGGGGTGTAGTCTCCAAGCCTGATCAGCTGGCTTGAAATCCCAGACCTGCTCTTTACTAGGCAGGTGGCCTCAGATGAGTTACTCAACCTCTCTGTGCTTGAGTTTCTTCATATATAAAACAGAAATAACATCAGTACTTACCTTATAAGGTTATTGTGAGAAGTACATGGCTGTGTATGAAGTCATTAGAATCAATGCCTGGGCAGTTCTAAGTACAGTTGCCCTTGTTTCTAAGAATCCCTGAGGAAACCAAAATCTGTGGATGCTCAAGGCCTAATATAAAATGGCAGGGTTGGCACCTCACTGTTTATAGCAGCTTAATTCACAAGAGTTAACAGTGGAAACAGCCTAGATGCCCTTCAGTAGATGAATGGAAAATGAAACTGTGGCATATATACACAATGAATTATTGCTTGGCTTTAAATAAGACTGAAATTATGGCATTTACAGGTAAATGGATGGAAATAGACAATATCATGCAAAGTGAAGTAAGCCAATCCCCCAAAACCAAAGGCCAAATGTTTTTTTCTAAGTGGATGTTGATCCATAATGGGCAGGGGGCAAGGGAAGAAGGGAGGAACTCTGGATTGATCAGAGGGGAAGGAAGGGAGGGAGGGAAGGGGAGGGGAGGGTGAGTGGGGGGGGAGATGGTAGAACGATATGGACATTATTACCCCTATGTATGGGTATGAATGCACAAATTATTTAACTCTACATCATGTACAACCAGAGAAATGAAAAGTTGTGTTTTTGTAAAAAAAAAAAAAAAAGAATAAATAAATAAAAATTAGTTTTTAAAAATGTCAGAGCTGGGTGATGGGGATGTGGCTCAAGCAGTAGCGCGCTCGCCTGGCATGCGTGCGGCCCGGGTTCGATCCTCAGCACCACATACAAACAACGATGTTGTGTCCGCCGAAAACTAAAAAAAAAAAAAAAAATATTAAAATTCTCTCTCTCTCTTTAAAAAAAAAAATGTCAGGGCTGGGATGTGGCTCAGTAGTGGTATAGCATTTGTCTCACATGTTTGAAGCCCTAGGATAAACCCCCAACACCAGAAAAGAAAGACAAATGAACAAACAAAAAGGTAGAGTATTTGCAAATAACCTCTCCCCCACCCCCCACTCTCCTGGACACTTTCTTAATTTATTTATTTTGAAGTGCTAGGGATTGAACTTCCCATATTATCTCTCTCTCTCTCTCTCTCTCTCTCTCTCTCTCTTTCTTTCACCAGAGATTGAACCCAGGGGTTCTTAACCACTGGGAAACAAGATTTGCTTAGTTGCTTAAGTGGCTTAGTACCTCGCTGAGTTGCTGAGGCTGACTTTGAACTCATGATCCTCTTGCCTCAGCTTCCTGGGCCTCTGGGATTATAGGCATACACCACCACACCAGGCTCTCGTATATTTTAAATTGTCTCTACATTACTAATACCTAATGCAATGTAAGTGCTATGTAAGTAGCTGTTTTACTATATTGTGGAGGGATTCATGAGAAGAAAAATAGCCTGTATGTGTTTAGTACACATGAAAAAATACATCTTTCAATTCACAGTTGGTTGAATCCACAGATGTGAAGCCCTCAGATGTGAAGGGCTGGCAGACCCGGGGAGGTCAAGCTGCTAAGCGCATGGCCAGGTCTAGGGGAAGGGAAAGCTCTCTGCAGAGCTCTAGCTAATTAAATGCTTGCAAGAACAGAGGAGTGTGGGAGGCCAACCTTACGGGTGACTGAGTTACACTCCCCAGCTGGGTGCTGAGGCGCTCAGTCACAGAAATGGGTGTGTCTTACTACAGCCCCATGGGTGAAGCTATGCTCACCTGTTCCTTTGTAATATAACTCCTTGCCCTGTTTAGGATAGAATCTTCCATGGAAGTGCCTTGTGTGTGTCCCCTCCTCTTACTGTGCCCTTCGGTGTGGCCTATCCAGATGTCAGTCAACCTGCTGACAGTGGACATCATGAAGATAGACTCAGCCCCCTGAAACCTGACCCCTTGCCTAGTTTAAATAGCTTTTCCTCAATAAAAGGGGTCAGCGTGTGCTCTCGCTCTCTTTCTCTTTCTGTGGACCCTTAAGGTCAGAGGAGCTGTCACAGCAACCCCAAAGAAAAAGGTAGGAGGAACTGTCATCCCAGTTTTTAGATCAAGAGCCTGAATGGCCAAGTGGCCCAACTGGGATCCAAACCCTGAGACATCTGAGTAGACACCAGGCCTTTGTTGGTTTCCGCAGGCTGCATACCCAGAGGAGGCATGGGAAAGACACTCACCTAGGGCAGTTACTGAAGGCAAGGGAGGTATGCATTGCAGCCTTCATGGAGCAAGGGTTGCCCTGGTCACATCAGGAAGTAGTTTCTCACCACTGCTCTGCCCTGAGCATCTGCTCCAGTCTTTCCATCTGAAGAGTTCCTTGTGACCCTCAGCCCACATGGCTGACCTTGGCACCAGTAGCTTCTGAGATCCACGTGTTACAACCTGGACACCAGAAGGGGGCTGAAGCCCTCTTCTAAATCCCAGATCCTAAGTTCCTGGTTGGCACAGGTAGTGTGTGGTACCTGTCGTTTGGGGTCCAGAGGCCAAGTTAGTTCTCTTGCAGGAACATGGCAGCTTACTGGTACAGTCCTGGGATGAGGGATGGGTCTAGGAAGGGAGGTTTCCAGGCCAGGGGAACTTGGTAGGTAGTCCAGGAGGCAGCTACTCCATAAGCTTATTCTTTGCTCTTGATCTGATGCCCACTCCTAGTTCCTCCTTGCTCCTACCTTCAATTTGTCTTGACCTCTACTCATGCAAATTCAGCTTCTGTGCTCATGTCTCTTGCACTCTGTGGTTGCACTCTCTGACAATTATCCACAGCTATTGCCTGAAACTCTACATGTTTTTATATTCGAAATGATCAGATAATTCAATGGCTTTGCATTGATTTCTACACCAGGTCATTTCAAATTCACTGATTGGTTTAAGAACTAGCTGCCTTAGGGATCCCAGTTTCTATTTAGACATCTGCCAAGTGACCCCTTTCTGCAGGTCTTTGGGCTCAGTGCTTCCACTGTGGGCATGAACAGGGGCTGGTACCAGGAGGAGACATCCACCATACCTAGCTTTGCATGATGCTCCTTCCAAAAGGCTTTCCTAAGCTTTTCAATGATGAAGTCCACTTATGGTATAGCATTAGACCCTTGAGATTGCCACAGGGTGCTGAGGACATTTGTCCAACTCAACAGAATTCCAAATGTACAGTGTTTTAAACAAGTTAGAATATTTTTCCTTGTTCAAATATCAAATATCAAATAGGGAATGAGTAGTCCAGAGCAGATTGGATGGAGACGAGGCTGCTTCTGACTTGCTGTTCCATCATCCCTCAGGTGTGGGCCTCATCTTCATGGATCAAGCTCTCTGGTTACCACATTCCAGCCAGTGGGAGGGGGAAAATGCATCCCCTTCACTTTCAATGCAGGAGTCAGTGTTTGTACCCTTTGCCTTGCTAATAGCTCACTAGCCAGTACTTAGTTGCTTGGCCACACCAGACTGCAAGGGGGGCTGGGAAATGGAGTCTGACCCTGGGTGGTTAGGTGCCCAGCTAAAATTTGGGAATTGTATTACTAAGGAGGAAGAGAACATAGATATGGGGACAATGGTACCACCATTCTCCTGTCACCCATGTCTGATGCCTCTCCACCATTCAGTATGTCACCCCATCTTGTAATGCCCCAGTTCCTGATTCCTTTCCTGCAGGGCTCTGTCGTCACCCCACCCAAATTGCTCTATACCCAGTGTCTCATAAGAACCTTCTAACTGATCCCTTTGCTTCCAGTCTCCCCCTGTGATCATCAGGAGAAGCAAATCTGATAAAATGGCCCCACTATTCAGAAATTTTTCATTGGCTCCCATTGCCCAAAGCAATTTGCTTTTTTTTTTTCCCCCTGTACTGGGCTTGAGCTCAAGGCTACTGAACCTCCAAGCTACACTACCTATAGTTTCTGATGATTGGTCTCCAAACTTAGGGGTTCACTTATTCAATTGTTGATTAATTTGCTGAAAAGCAGTAGGTTCTCTGAAAAGTGCAAAGATTCACCTGCGACCTAGAGACATGCTGCTTCCGTGGGACAACAATGAGGATGATGGGAGAGCTGGATGTTGGGCTCAGGAGTTCAAGGGAGGTGGGTTCCACCAGCTGTGTGATCTTGGGTACCTTACCCTATGCACTTTACCGTTTGGGACCTCAGTTTCCTCTAGCAAAATGGCGGCAGCTCTATCAACCTCAGAAGGTCATCGTGGGGTTTAAATGATTTTGGCACAGGTTAGTTATCATCATCATCATCTCATCATCATCATCATCATCATCATCATCATCGTTGTTGTTGTCAATGTCCTCACCTTACCGAGACCTTTGTTTAAGAAGCCTGGGTCTAGCAGGGCTACTTTGCATGCTGGCTTGGTGGAATGGGCCAGTTTGCAGAATGGATCAATATCAGAGAGGTATTTCCAGTTTTACAACTAGAAGTGACTCTGTAAAGTTTGCTCCTTCATCCAGTTGTCTATAGCCATGGGTTTCCCAACCCAGGCTCCAAGCACTGTATTGCCTTATTAAATCTACAACAGTCTTGTGAGGTTGATTTTTTCTTGCTACCACCGTATGGTTCCTTGGATTCTGCTGGCCATCAAGGCACTTTTCAGGACCAGAAGTTAAACACTAACCTACTTGTTAACTGCCCATAAGTCTCATCTTATCATTCAGGCTGCTGTCACAGGCCGGGTGGGCCAGAAGCAGGTGCACCAGGTCGGTGTTGCCATGGTGACAGGCCAGCATGAGAGCCCACAATCCATCATGGTCCTGCAGGTTGACCTCTGCCTGGCAGCTCAGTAGTGCTTGTACCATGTCCTCCTGGTCGTAGCTGACCCCCAGCATCAAGGCGGTCTGGCCTCCCTGCACACGGGGCAACGGGGATATGGTGAGGCTGCAGCTGGTACCAGGGTGCTTGGCAGGGACTCCTCAAGAAAATGACCATTCCTTCCATCGTGGCTTTCCTTCTCTGTCTGGTAGAATTCTCCTTCCCCAGGGTGCTATTCAGGTACTCCATCTGCTCTAAAGGCTTTCCAACCAGCCACACCACACAGGTGGGATTCATCACACTGGGCATCACAGCTTGTCAATCTCTCCTGTTCTCAAGGACTGTACAGTTGTTGGCAGGGACTGTCATCTTTGTCTCTGTCTCCACAGTACCTAGCACCCAGCACTGATACATGTGGAGCCATGGGGGAGATGAAGGTTGAGTGCTTCAGCGGCCTGCCTTCCTATCACTGCCCTGGCCCAGCCTTCCCCAGGAAGCCTTGGTCTGCTTCACACCTCTGGCCTTTTTAGATTAATGATACCCAGAAGCCTTTGTTTCAGTAAGCTCTCGTGTCCCTGTGGCTATTTCTAATCTGTAGCTGTTGACATCCCTGTGATCACGGGTGGACACAGCAAGAGAATCAGAAAGCGAGTCCCATCTCTAGCTCTGCCAGCCACCAACATGGGACCCTGGCTGCCTCGCTGCCTTCCCTGAATCCTACCTTTGTTTACAAATGAATGGCCTTTCTGTGTGTATCTCACAGGACTTTTGTGGGAATCACATAAGATAAAGATGTAAATATAGTAATGTGTGATGGTACTTTTTCTGATAAAAATGAACAATATCTTATTTCCCATAGATTTTCTTGTATACACTATTTAAATTTTTTTATTTGTTCTTTTTAGTTTCTCATGACAGTAGAGTGTATTTTGACATCTTATACATATAAGGAGTATAACTTCCCATTCTTGTGGTTGTACATGATGTGGAGTTACACTGGTTGTGTATTCATATGTGAATGTTAGAAAAGTTTTGTCTGATTCATTCTACTCTTTCCCATTCCCATTTCCCTTGTATACACTATTTATATGTTGATATTTTCTTATAGTTCTCTTACAGGAATTTATTATATATATATATATATATGTATTATTATATATATATGTATTATTTTATATATATGTATATATATATTATATATATATATGTATTTTAATATTTTATTTTTTTAGATATTCGTGGACACAATATTTTATTTCTATGGGGTGCTGAGGATTGAACTCGTGCCTCATGCATGCTAGGTGAGTGCTCTACCACTGAACCACAACCCCAGCCTGAATTGATTATATTTTGCCCCTGTGGTTCTCCTGAGTTCCAGGCAGGTCAGTGCTTTCTCTCCGATGGGATTCTGGGCTTTGTAAGATGGCAAGAATCAGGCAAAGGCTGTGTTTTCTTTCCTTTCAGATTCCTTGTGGCTCTGAACACCATGTCTAAAAAGTGCTGAGGACGTATTTGCTGCTGTGCTGGCTGATTACAACTCCAATCTGCAGTCCCTGTGGATTGTGCTACCTGTTCAGCACCCTGGGGCTTTGAAAAAGGAAAGGGAGCTTGGAATCAGAAAAATCCAGGGTCTACCAGTTAGAACCCACATGAAGGCGTGCAAAATATCCTCCATATCTCTCCCTGATCAGGGAAGACAGGAATGACCAGCATTCTTGTTCTGGTGGACTTGTAGTGAGCCCTGGGCATGTGTTACCTGTCAGGGCCTTCATGCAGGTTGGAGATGGTGTATGGCAATTGCCCAGTTCATGGTGTGCATTACTAGATGTCCTGGTCCCCCACTTCTTTGGAACCCAGACACATCTTTCCAGAAAAGGCTTTATGCATTTTTGGTGTGTTTTACTCAGCCCCAAGGTAATGGTTGTTCACTGGATGAACCCAACTGTGAGTTTCCATCCAGACCCCTCTCCTCAACTGTTAGTTAATTCAAATGGCATTTGCAGCTTGCCCTCCTATCTGCCCCTCTGCTTGACTCAGGGTCCCTTCTTCCCTCACCGTCTCTCTGGTCCAGCTCAATACACTCAACACACAATTCAGTGGTCATTTACAGAGTCCTACTGGTCGCTGGGCTCTGCACTGACCATGGAGATACAAATACAAAAAAGTAGCTTATTCCTAGGAGACCCTCCACTCCATTCCATTTTACATGGCCTCTCCACCTGTCCTCATATGTAGAGGCCCCAGGGTAGCCGCAGGGGACAGCTGCAGCTATGAATTCCCATCCCTTGTTGGGGGAGCCGGAGCAACTCCCTTTTTCTCCTAGAGCACAGGTGTTTCCTCTGGAAAAAGAATAGGTTGACCTTGATCACTGCTGAACATCGGTCTTGCAAGAGGCCAAGTTAGAGAAAAATTCAAGTTTATGGGAAGAATATTATTTAAAATGAGAATAGCTATAGGGAGTCTTCTGGAATAGGAGTTGTAGGTGAGTGAAAATACTTTGTAAACCAGAAAGTGATCTACAAATATCTGTGTGTGGCTATCAGGAGGATAGCTATTGATGGATGAAGTGTCCAAAGTGGCTTTGCCATCAGTTTAGGTCACTGTCTGCAGTTGCATTGGGGGAGTGTGGAACAGTGGAGCTGAGAATATTGTTGGGAGTCAGTTTTCCGTGTGATTTCTTTCCTTTCTGCATATCTAGACTCAGATATTATCTGTTTATTTTCTCTCTCTCTTTTTCTTTTCCTTTTTTCTGGTACTAGGGATTGAACCCATGAACCCAGGAGCTTTCTGCCACTGACCTGCATCTCCATTCCTTTTCCTTATTTTACTTTAAGCCTCTCACTAAGTTATCCAGGCTGGCCTCAGATTGTCATCCTTCTGCCTCACTCAGTCTCCTGAGTTGCTGGGATGACAGGCATGTGCACCCAGTTTAAATGATGTTTTTAAGGGTGTTCATATAGCAATTGGCCCTGGAAGATAGAGGTGGTATCCTCTTCTAAGACAGGGTCAGACTTACTTACTGCCCATTATAAGAGATAAAAGGCTAAGACAGGAGGATCTCAGATTTGAGGTCAGCCTCCTCAACTTTACAAGACCTTGTCTCAAAATAAAAAAGAAGAAAGGACTGGGGAGGGGCTACAGTTATTGTGGAGCACTTGCCTTGCATGTATGAGGCACTGGGTTTGATCCTCAGCATCACATAAATAAAGTAAATACAGATTATGTCCATCTACAACTTAAAAAAAGAAACAACAACAACAAAAAGAAAACAAAAATGGGCTGGGATGTGGCTTAGTGGTTAAGCACCCCTGGGTTCAATCCCTGGTACAAAAAGAAAAAAGGATAAAATCTCAGATACTTCACACTTCTTGACAGTTATGCCATCATCTATGTGCACTCCAAATGGACAGGAAAGGGGCTGGGGTTGTGGCTCAGCAGTAGAGCGCTCACCTAGCCCCTGTGAGACCCAGGGTTTGATCCTTAGCACCACATAAAAATAAATAAATAAAACAAAGGTATTGTGTCCAACTACAACTAAAAAGTAAATATCCTTTTTTTTAAAAAAGGGAGACAGGGGAGTTGAATGTACCCTATTCATTCCTGTGTGGTCAAAAGGGCAAGTGACCTTTGAAGGGCTCCCCAATGTTCTATGCAGAACCTTGTCCAATTCAAAGTCCTGCTAGGTAAGACCACTCCCATGCTCTGTGTTCTCAAGAAGAGGATTCCAGGCCCCAAGGTTCTGATTGCCTTGAATACCTTTGCTGTTCACAAGATCTCTCTTGGTGTGAATCTCAAACAACTTCTACCTAATCACTCTATGAAAAGTTCAGAACACTGATTTTGGGTCACTTTACACATTTATCAGAGTTGCTTGGTGCTGCAGTCTGGCTGGGCACAATTCAGGAGCCACTTGTCAAAAGAAACGAACTTTATTTTTAGAACCACACACGCCAAACAAAACAGCTCCTCAGGAAAAACCTTCAGAGCCCAACTGCCACCAATGGCTTCCCACAAGCCTCTCAACCTCCCCCACTCCTCCTGCTCTTGAGGCCGATTGGCTGGGTCGCATGGGCGGAGCCAAAAAAGTCCCCCAATGAGCAGCTCCGTAGTCTGAAAGGGCGGGGAAACAGCCCAATGAGCATCACCGCAGAGGAGCCAATCAGCTAGATGTTGCTGGGGCCGCTGTGAGCCAATCATCAGCTGGCAGTCTGAAAATTTGCTGGGGCACCTTCGGCTGTGGCTCTCAACAGCTTGGGGTAACAGGCTGCTTGAGAAGAGCATAGGGTTCCTGACATTGGAGGTCATGGGCTCAGAGAGCATTATAATGAAGCTGGAGGCTGGATGCCCTGGCATACGCCTGTAATCCCAGCAGCTCAGGAGGCTGAGACAGGAGGATGCGAGTTCAAAGCCAGTTTCAGCAATTTAGCTAAGCCCTAAGCAACTGGGTGATACCCTGTCTCTAAATAAAATACAAAAAAGGGCTGGGGATGTGGCTCAGGGCTTAAGCAATTTGGATTCAATCTCTGGTAAAGAAGGAGGAGGAGGAGGAGGAGGAGGAGGAAAGGAGAAGAAGAAGTAACTCTCCACATAGTTAGCTGTTCAAGGAGAGGAGGAAAAATTCTCCACATATTTAGATGTTTAGGTTCAAGGAGAAGGAGGAGGGATTCTCCACATGTTTAGGTGTTTAGTTTCATTTTAGAATCCATGAGCCTTAAGCTGCTCTTTCTTGACAACATCAACCTCCCAGAGACACTGGCAAATGTTTTTGCTTTGGTCACCTTAAAGCTGAAAAACCTAGCCAGATTCGGTTTCTTTTCGCCCTAATCACCTGCAATGCCCTTCCTGCTGCAGGTTGCTGGATTCCAATAAGAAAGTAATCCTCAGCCCTGCCTGGAGTAAGTCAGAACCCTTAGTTGCACCAGCAAATGTGTCAATATTGGAGGTTCTGGAGAGTTGACATAAGATACTGTTGTGTGTGAGAGGATTACTTCCAGGTCCCCTGGATTGCTGCTTGTGGAAGCTCCTGTGGCCAGAAGATCCAGAGAAAAGAGCGCATCCCTCAGCGGGATCCAGCTGCGACCACTGGGACCCAGAA